TATGTATCCCTTGATGTACTTGTAGCATAACTCAACAAATTATATCTCTTTAATGGACAATTTTCATGAAAATTAAAGCCAAACGAATACTAAAAGATCCAAAATTTCAATATTTTTCTGGTGAAAAATTGTACAAATCAAACACAATTAATTGACAATTCTCAATAAAAATAAGTTCTAGACAATTCAATTTCATAGAATTTATTTTCTTTCTATCTAAATTTCATTTTTGAAATCAAACGGACCCTCAGTAAATTGCTCGATGACCAAAGAGTCACATAGGGTTATGACACGTGAGCTTGAGCATCAACATGACCTGATCTTGAAGGTAGGAGTCTTATTTAAGCGACCTTTCTTATATGCCGCGTGTCCTACCATGCTTAGAGCTAGCCTAGTAATTGTCCACTATTTGGCTTGATTGACAGGAGACATTATTTGGCTAAAAAAATAGGAGAGTTTGTCTTCTCTTCAATTAATTCCACCCCCTATCTATTCCTTCCAGGTCTCCACACACCGTCATATCCTTTGAGGTCTATTCCGTCGTATGTGTTGGAGTTAGAATAGAAGAGAGTTATGTAATATTACTTGGTACAATAACTTAAAAGAGAGAGGTGTGCAACTCTACTCGGATCGTCATACGTTTAAACGCAATCGAAAAGTTTCGTTATCCGCCCTTATAAGATTTTAAAAAGAAAAAATATTTCACAATTTTCTATTTCAATTAACAAAATCTCAATGTTTCAACGAGTTAATACTCTCAACTTTTGTCCCTTTTTCATAAATGAAAAATACGCTTTAAGCCCCTATTTGTTTCTCATTTTCTGTCAACAAAGATGAATTTTTGTACCCATTTTTCAAACTTTTTGGGGATATTGTGAAAGAAAATGGTCAAAAAAATGGCTGCACATGTTTGTAAGGTAGAAAAATGCATTAAAATGAGATAAAAATTGGAAACAAACAGGAGCTAAGTGTCAAATTTAATAGGTTTAAATTGGATAGATCCGACTGTTAATATCGTATCCCGTTGGTCCATTAGAATAAATGGTTGAAACTAACCGGCATCATGATGTTGAACTACTACTACTTTACAACCTAAATAAGCACTTCAGCAATTAATTATGGTTCAAAAAAGTACTTTTTTTTGGCTTTTGCTTATGTCAAGCACTTGAAGTAGTTTAGCTACTGTCGATAATATAAAATAAAAAATATAAAAGAAATTAAGAGAGTAGCAAGTGGAAAGAATATAGGTAGGGGTGAGCTGGCAGAATTGAATACTGACCAACTCAAACCTACGATCATTGATTAGCATTACTGTGGATTGGATATAAAAGGTAGAAATTGTTTTTAAGTCTGTGATATTGATTGGGGCCTATCTTTGCCACCACGTTCGTTATCAATACGACAGGGGTCTGTCTTATCTATTTTGATTTTCTATATTGGTGTGTGTGATGTAGGACAATTGGCGTTAGAGTTTGAAAAAGAATTGAATCGAAAATTGACAAAATGAGCTGTTTTGAAGAAACGAGCATCACTTTTTGCACCAATGTCAGAATTTCTATTATAATATGTTTTCAGAAACGTCTCGCAGAGCTCTACAGCATCCCAACCTGGGGTTTCCCGGTTGACATTGTTTTCAGCCTCAAATTCGCAGTTTAAGGCAGTCTATCGAACAATTGAAGTTTTTTTTTTAATTGTTTTAATTAAATTGATGTCTATTTTGATCTTTTTGCTTAAATTAGGATTTTCTGAGGCTATTTAAAGACTTTGTTTTTTTGAATAAGACAATTCCGTTTTTGAGGTTATTTTCTTGAGATTTACAATTTTCTTTTGTTGGGAATTACGTTGGTAAACCCTATAATTTTCGTTCTGTGTCAGTGTGTTAGATGGAGGTACATCGAATTGGTATTAGCATTTAATATAAGTAAATTTTAAGGATTTTGGGTTCGAATGGGTGAACGTAAAAGAAAATTATGTTATGATCCAATCCGACTTATCTCAACAATACAGACAAAATTTGCATGGACCATATTAATACTTGATGTTCTAATCCAATGCCCATGGTCAATGAACTTTGGTATCAACATTCAATTTAAGGGTGGGGTTCGAATATTTGGGATGCGAAAGAAAAATCTTGTTGGGATCCAACCCGATGTTTCCCAACAAGACAGATTGAATTTGTGGTCCTTAGATAGATTTGTCTCATTTGTAGATACTAGGGTTGTGTCAAAAAATGGAGAAAGATGTTCTCGTGCCCCTTAATTAATTAAATCAATAAGCTTTTTGATTGCTTCAGAGCGCCTCCCCACAACTTAGAATTAGAACCCATTGAGGGGTGCCTCGGCCGGGGAAGG